CCAATTTGGAGATATTGGTCATTGAATCCTTGGAAACAATCTATACAATACGCAAGGGGCCTACAAGAATCGTCGACCAAGAGAGGCAAGAAAGAAAAAACAAGAAATACTACATGAAATCTCGAGGCCGTATATTAAAGCCCGCCCGTTGTCGCCTTTAATCCCATCCGGGCATTCGCCATATTGGAATCCAGATTTTCTGATATTGATATATATATATATTATATTGATTATTCAAACATCCTTCCGCAAAGATATTACAGAAAAAAAAAATTAAAAGGAGATATTAGATTATTACCTAAATTGGCGGAGCAATTTGCAGTCATGACACTCGCGTGGGCCCTTCAAAATTCTTCCTGCGAACTTTTTGGGGACTTGGGAGCTCTAAAATTCTCGATAGATTGGCTATCTGGGCAATTATTTTTTTCTATCGGATTAATGGTCTTTCGTTCGGGCGAGCTGACGATTTCTGAACTCTTTTTATGATATGATTTGATAAAGATATTCTCTTAATTTAATCATTATTTCATTAATATATCGATGAAATCATTAGGAGAATGATTTATCTATAGATCGATTATTATGATCTCTGAAATATTCAAAAAACGAATGCTTAATTAGGATTTTATCGATTTGAAAATGAATATGATTATTCGAGATATTCGAAAAGAATTTTTATATGAAATGAAAGATAGAGGAAACATACGAAAATTCGTTCGATGAATATCTATTAAATTTCGATTATTATATGATTATGATATATTTCATGATTATTTTGGAAAGATATATTTTTAGGTAATCATTTAGTTATTATATAATTTATTTTTTCTTCATCTAGATGATTTTAATGGATTTTGGTTTATAGAATATATATTTATGAATGATATTTTCGAATTATATCTTGAAAATAGAATTGAAATCTTCTGATAGGAAATAAGAATTATTCTCTATATTTTGATAGATCAGCTATAATTTTCATTTTCTTATGAACTTCTGTATTTATCTATAGAAGATAAGAGAAGATTGGTCGCCTCGGCATTTTTATTAGAAAATCAATAGTCTAAGGGGAATTAGATAGGCGCTATGGATCGGACGAGATAACTCGAATGCTCATTATGAATCAGAGATATGCTTATATTCCGCCTAAGCAAGTCTATAACTGGGTTGGGGCAGGTCATAGATTTGCAAGTGTGGGGCACCAAAGCGGCGCCCGACGCTCTATGGAATATAGAGCTGAGACCAATCCTGAAATCGTTGATCTTATATTTCGGGGAGGTGTAGTTTCAGATGATGCTGTCGCGAAATTGAGATGATGGGTTTTTTTGTGGTGCTGAATTGAGATGCTATGGCTTTTCTGCGCGAGATAAGTATGGATTCTCATGCTCATTTTCTATAAGCATGACAATATTGGAATAGCATCAATCAAATGATGGGCGTATAAAAAATAGTTTCATGCATATTTGGCAATCTATGATGTCATGAATTTAGGGCTCCTTGTTATCATCTGCAGCCATGACCAGATCACTGAATATAGAAAATGGGATATGATGCAGAAGCGAGCATTCTGAAATCATGTAGCGAAAAAAAGATCATATTATCTAGCTTGGCGATAAAGATTCTTGGATCTCTATATTCAGAAATTTCATGTGCTTCAATTAAGCAATCTGGCTGATTGCACGAAAATTACGCTTGCTGCTTTGGGCAATGGCGGATAAGCTGTGCCGATTGCTTCGATTGGCTAAATTATGTGCAGTGTCTGCTTCGGACGGGGGTGAGCCAGTGTATTTGTTTGCACTAGCTGAGCCGGAGTGTCTCAATTGCAGATATGAGTGATCACGTCGCGAGGATGGGGTAATGCATTATAACATTGCAGCATTACATAAGAATTGCGACAATTGATGAGTGTTTCAATTCTCGTCGGATCATCAGGTGGATATCTTTTCTCAATGCAATATTATTTTGTAATATCATTGAGTAGTGGTATGTGTTGGCACGCTGAGGTCGAAAAGACACTTGGACATTATAAACTGCAGCACGGCCTGACTGCGCGTAGCTCAGACTACGAAGTCAAGTATCGTGAGTTCATCCAGAGCCAATGGCCCGAGATATAGAGCAGCTACAGACATTTCGAATCCACGAGAGTGATTTGCAATACTTTGACCCGCTTCAAGTATTTGCAAGATGTCAAGACAATTGTTCAGCGTGATTGCGAATTTTTGCATGCAGAGCTGTCCCACGAGAACACAATCCTGACGATGAAAGAAATTCTTGTAGGATGCAATTTGTTTTTCAATGCAATGACCGACCAAGAACATCGCATCATTGTCATGGAGGCTATTTCCGCTTGCGAAACTTGCTTGCACGGAAAATATGAATCATTTAATAATTATATTCTTGGAAGGTTCGCACAATGATATATTGATTTATTCAATCTATCCTGACTGACTGAGATATCACTGAATGCGACGAATGTACAATGGCTGTACGAGAAGTCTGCAACGGCAACTTCAGATGTTGCACGTTGGATGACGCCCGTATCTGGACGTATGCTCGAGATCCAGGCCAAATTGAAGGAACAGAAGGATGCCAAGAAGAATTCGAAGGACCCCTCCAAACTCCTTGCAGGAGATGAGCGCAAACCACCAAAAAAGGTGCTAAAGGCAAAAGCAAAATCAAAAGCAAAGGCATCGTCTAAAAGCACAGCTGCAGGCGAGGCGAAAGACGACAAAGGCAAAATAGAAAGAGAGATCCATGTGCTGAGTTAAGGCGGTGCTTTGCTTACTCGTGAGAAGTATTTCATTGACTGCCTGCTCATGTGGGTTCGCAATGCTGTGCGAGCAGCGCGACAGAGACTTGTAGTAGCAATCCCGAAAGCCGTCCAATCAGCCGAACTAGATTGCGGTCATTTGGTTTACGCAGATATGGAACTTGGGCTAATGATGGATATCGTTCGACGGGGGCTAGTCTTCGCCAACAGTGGAAAAATAATGCTGATGAAGAAGGTCCACAAGAAGTGGTCTTCATTCCTCCCAGCACTGCAAGCTTATTTGATGCAGTCGTATGAGAAGGCGGCTAGAGTCTAGAGTATTATAATCTCGAAATGATCGAGCAATGATTGGGATTTTTGGCTATAGTCCGGTTAAATATATTTAAAGATTTCAATATAACGCCTGGCAGGAGATGATCGCTCAACGAACAGTGGTGACAAGTGCGGGTGGTAAAAATTCAGACGCGCAACTTATCGTAAGTTGTCAGCTACCTTGGTGCAACCGGCATCTTCGATCTCAGTGGAGTCATCAAAAAGTGAGATATCAGCCATTGTAGAAGCGAGGAAATCCAAGGTACTTGAACCGCTGCTTCCTTCATTGGTTGCATGGATTCAAGCAGAGCAGGCAGCTACGAAGGCAGCCAGCCCATTGGAAGATGATGCGACCAAGCACATGACCTTCTCCAAGATCCTTGCGAGCTGGCAGACAATGTGCAGCTGTGGCGAACAGAGGACTCGATGTTGCTAAAATTTGCATGCAATATCTTCTATATCAGGGCATATATTTATTTCAAACCATAACTAATCGATATTTTTGCGCCGAGTGCAGGCACATTGTCACCAAGCAATTGTGGCGCCCTGTAGCAGAAGCATTTGATGATTATTTGTGCAGGACAAATATCGATTGTTGCATTATTCGCCAACTCTGGGCGGACATCATAGACGTCGTGTTCGGGATTTGCAATCTGGTATGCGCAGAAGTGCCTGCTGCAATCCTTGCAACAGAATAAATCCTCGTAGATTATGCCTACACGATTTGGAGAGAAGTGCATCCAGCATTGCGGGAGCATGATCAGCAAGAATTCGTGCAGAAGGCTTTCAATTGCAAAGCGATTGCGGGCCTATCTATGTTATGCAAAGTCTATATCGCAGAGGCTTGTCTTCATGCGCTCTCGGGCCGTCTCGAGGTTGCAGATGACCAACTGCGACGATAGAGGAAAGATAGTGATATCGTTTTGGCCAAGATGGACAATTTGTGAGGCATTGCTGAATGTGACATATTGAGCGCAGGCTATGATATTTCATTCATGCAGATCGTGAAGAATGGATTTGTTACATTGTCTGACATTGCGGATGTTAGGCAACAGCCGGATAGCTCTGGAGGGGCATCCAGTGCCAGCGCACCGCAGAACAAGCTGAGCAAGTCAGCACGCAGCGGTGCTGCAGATGACTGCAGCAGATTGATTTCATAGAAGCAGCTGAGCACGCTTGATATGCCGGCGACCAATGACGGCGATTCCCAAGGCATCGGTGATTTGCTGAAGTCCGCAGAAGCAATGCATGACCTTCGTTTGTCTTTGGCCTCAGACATGATGACGACTGCAAGGAGCGCGTGATTGCTGAAGGTACAAGAAGGATTCGTGTATATTCAAGTAAGATTGCATGAGGATTTATGCACAGCCATATTTTGTTTCGATTTTTGGTATGCTCTTTGTTGTGCGCTGCACCCAGTGGACAGGAACTACGAAGATGCGAATGGTTGCAGCGACATCGTTTGGTTTCATTGCACAACTTCTGAGAAAGGTGACAAAAGTGTTGCAAACACCGAAATATTGCTGCTGCTTCCGCCAGGTCCGCGTGTCAACGAAATCATTCGAGATGCTTCCTCAGGGGATACAACTAAGAGTGAACCTGTGCGAGTAATGCTTAGCAAGTTGACTACCAAAGAGTTCCGGGCAAAATTTCGTTGTCATTTCTGGGGGGATATCAGTGCCTTGTCGGAGCATTGCAACCCATATATATTGTGTGACATATATTCTAGCATGAAGTTGGAAGATCTCTTGCAATGTGTCACTCAGGCAATGACGCTCCTATGTTGCAGAAGGCGCCCAGGGTAATGCTGACAACTCCGGTGCTAGTTTCCGAGAAAGAAAGTTCATCACCTTTGTCGATGATCATGCTTTCAGATCCAAATGACGAAGAATCCACGTACGAATATGAGCTGAAGTTCTATATGAGTGGCCGCAACGTAAACAAAGTAGATGGATCGCTTGTGGGCCCGGCTTGGATGGTTCCACCAACCGATCTACGCTATCCGATCCTGTCAGTTCGGGAGTCCACGCACAGCTTCCCATTCAAGGGCAAGATGCTTCAGTATGACATGACATACTTAGGCATGCCATTGCATGACGGTGATGATGACTTGGACCCTGCACGTTCGACGCCTGTGCTTATGAAAGTGATCAAGGGCCCAACTTTTGCTCTTCTGATGCGCTCTGATCTGCCTACGCCCAAGAATGTTCTTATATTGATATCGTAACTTCATAGGTCGATGCAGTCGATATATAAACATGTGTCATATCACGTGAGTTGCTTTTCACTGCTGCTATGAGGCTGGCAGAGGAATGGAAGGCGAAGAAGACTCTCAAGCGATCGTATCCAGGGCACGCGCATGCGGCTGGCGAAGAGTCTTGGCCATTAGGTGATGACGCACTTGCAGAGTTTGGTTTGGCTCCGAATGGGTCTGCACTTGCAGACCCTTCCAATCGCCGCAAACGCGGCAAGAATCTTGATGCATTGTCTCCCAGCAAGAAAATGCGGGTCGACCCCGCGGCACGCCATCTAATTCGTTGAGCTTGAGTTTAGTCTGAAGCTTGTGCTAGCAAGTCTGCGGTCCGCGTGTTGCAAGCGAGCAACGCACTTGATGAATTCATGGATTAAGTGCTAAGTCCAGTCCAATCTTGAGCCTTGTGTTTGTTTGAGCCTGGAATTTCAAAGGATTTGGAAATTGGGCCGCAGCAGACAGTCAGACACGGCATTTTGCTGACATACGGATTCTGGAGGAGAGCACAAAGCCGCGCTATCTCCAAAGACTCCAACGCTAAGTGCCTTAATGCCTTTACATCAATACAACGTGTACCCGCGTGGCTTTGTGGAACCCATGCTTGCACGGGAAAAGGAGCGGAGTGATTCCATGAAGCTGGAATCGTGTAGCTTGGATGAGCTGTTCCCACAACACGTGATCAGGAAAAGAATGTCCATGTGCGCTTTGGTGATTCGCATGTCAATATGTGTCGAACTCCATTCTATCACAATCACAGAATAGAATTCGATCTTCATGTCACCATGCGATGCATCATGCCTGCATAAATTTTCAGGATAGCAATCGGCATGCAAGATCAACCAGCAAGCATCCTAATGTTTGATGTTGTGTGAATATGAGAATATACAATCGCCTGCAAACGCATATTGTCACCATTGTCACCACCGTGGTCGATGTTGTTTCTGTTGTTATTGTTGCTGCTGTTGTTTGCTGTTGCTGCTGCTGCTGGTGGTTGTGGTGGCGGTGATGGATTGTGGTGGCGGCGGAGGTGGTGATTGTGGTGTATTTAATGGTGAAGGTCAAGGTGTTTTTGTTTCTATTGCGCATGCTTCCCATAAACTTCAGCATCATTGATATCATCATCAATCATCATCATGGTTCATTATGATTCATTATGAGAATATTCTCGATTTTTTGGGTTGCTTTATCGGCGAATATCGAGAAACTCAATAATAACAATGCGACGCAAGAGCATGCGCTACACACTCGCTCAACACTAACCTGCAGCATGGATCAAACCAACTGAAGCAACATCATCCACATCAACTAATAGAACTTGCAGTAGCATGAACTAATCACTCACAACGCATCATCATCACAGTCAGTGTGTCATCCACAATCACCCCGGGTCACACCGCACGCATGCAATCGTCATCAATTTTGCTGCAGAGTCGATCGGGCAACCTGCATGACACTCGCATTTCCCACACAAATAAAGTATTACAATAATTCTTTTGTTTCTCTGCGCAGGGATAATGCAACTCATGTGTGACACTTATGACTGTGGAAAGCCAATGAATAAAAATCATGAGTATCCATCCAGTGCATGAGCCTGTGGAAGTGATCCTACTTGTCCAACCATTATCATCATCATGAGATCCAGAGGCGTCGGGCGGCTCAGGGGGGAGCCGCCCATGCAAAACGGTAACATGCCCCCAGAGGGTTCTGGACATCCTTATATTCCGCCGTTCTGAACGAGATCCCAATATTTGAAGGCATTAAGGAAATCGTTTCCGTGTTAAAGGGAACGAGATCAGGGTCTACGGATTAAAAATAGAATTAATTAGCCCCAATTATAAATATATATCGTCGCGATCGAAGGGAAAATGAATCGTTCTTGTGCATATCATTTTTCTCTTCTTCTTGAAAATGATACGATAGAATTAGGCGATAAATTATTTTCTCATCGAAAATTTGATATAATGATATACTAATTTTATGAAAGTGATTATAATCATTTATTTGGATTCTTGCCAATATTCTTATTCCTGGAATTGATCTTGATTCGATTTTCTCTACGTGTCGTCTCATGGGATAAATATTTTATAGGGTCATATCATGATGAAAGATTTGGCTCTGATTTTTCAAAAATATCAATTATATCTAACGCGGGGATTTTTTTCTTTTTTCTAGATTTCTATCGCTGTCCTTTCTATATCGAGCGTAAGACGGATTAGGCCGGCTCTCTTTGAGGCGCTTCCGCTCAATTGACGAAATCAAGGTCATGGAGATTTAATAGTAAGGCCATTATAACAGCTCGACTCCAATTAATATACGCCCTCTTGGATTTTGATGGGGAATCACCCCACATGAAGGGATATTCTGCGATACATACGAATTGCTGACCCTGGCGAGGCTACGACCTGCATGGACAACAGATACTAGCGCGCTTCTAGC